CAAGTAGTTTATTTATTTATGCACAACACACAGACAGTACACAGGAGAACACATATATAAATAAACTGGAGGTACATAGGTACTACATATCCCTATAGGAATCTCTTCCTGCAGTCCTTCAACAGGAAAAACGGTAAAAACTAAGACACTGTGTGTAAGTTGTTTTATCTTTTTTTGATGGAGACGTGAACTAAGTTACTGGAATCAGTACTTACGTCAGTTCGTTACTTATCCCTATCTGACAAAATGAGCGAGTGTTTTGATTTCGATGAAAAATAATGATAGGTAAACACTACACATAAATCGGTAACCTAGTATCGCGACTTCGTTTTCGTAAACCAGTTGCAACGAGAACCGTTTCAAAAACTAGATTTTGTAACCATGAAAACGATTACTTGTATAAAATACGAAGATTCTAATATTAGTGTCTTTGGCCATAGAATCGGCAACGATCAACGAATGATCCCCTGCTACTTCCCTTCCCAGTGTACCGCCGACTGCAACGCTGCAATTTATTTAAATTTGCGCAATAAGTGCTGTTACCGAGTAAAATTAACTGACGGTAAAACTACGTGAATAAAAATGCCATACTAGGAGTTTGTGCACGAAGTTAATGAGAATGGGGACAAAATTCTCGTTAAATCATTAAATTCAAATACTCCAGTGAGTGTTCGCTTCACAAATCAAACATCGCGTCCGGTGAACGTGTGGTGGCGTGACTATGGAGGGAGGCAAGTGTTTTACGGCCGGATTGAACCCGGCGCGGTCCACGACCAAAGCACATTCTTGACACACCCTTGGCAATTTACGGATGCGGGTACTGAGCAGTACTACATGATCGACAACAGGAGTGTATTCGCCGCCGCCGGAGCTCGCGGGTCAGACCCCGAACTTTAACGTCACTGCGCCCCAGTGTTGTCCTGCTGCCCATTTTTGCTGTTCCTGTTGTCATGGTGCACAACAACCGGTCTGCCAAAAGATCTATTAGATTTGAAATAAAGTATCTATTGCAGATTGCACCTTGCATAGGTTAATCAATCGAATAATTTTTAAATTTTGAAAACAGTGCTCATATAGTTCTCAAAATAGAGACCTAGATTAGCTAAAATGTTCCGATTTACGTGATTAACTTAATTCTTGTCGAATAGACACATTATTTTTAAACCGAAGTTTTAAAGTATTCTGGGTGTAGGTACCTAATACCGGGTCAGGGTATTACTAGGTACTCTGAATTCAATGAAACAAATGTTTTCAACTTTAGATTGCCTAACAATAGAATTTAGAAATTATGTGTTTAATTGTTTATTGTCTACAGTTATATAATGCTGCCTAATTCAATTTATCCAAAATATTTTTGATTGAATCTCATATCAATACCTAGCTATTTATTAATTAAATTTTAAAGCGTTTTTACGTGTGCAATGTGATTTTAATAATTGTTGGTAAGGAATATTTAGAAATTATTGGATTTTAGCTAGGTACTGTAAAATATACTTAATTACCTATAGTAATTAAATTAGTAATGTGTACCTACATCAATACTTTGTTTTATTTTCCCTATAAGTAAATGTAAATAGTTCAGGCATTCAGTCCACAAATACCTATGTAGAGGTATATTACGCACAAGTGGTAAATTTTGCGATTCAAGATCTATTATTTTTCTATTTGATAGGCTGGCAAACGGATGGATCACCTGATGGATGAGTTACAAATGCGTTGCCAACCTTACTACTAGCTACCTAGGTACCTACCTAAGTACCTATTGTAGGAATTGGAAAGTGGCGAAATTGAAGAGAGTGCGTGACTGCGTGGCTGCGGTTACAAGAATTGTTTCACGCTTCTGCTTTCTGATGCCATGATATCCCACCGGCCTCTCGAGCCGGCTCATTTGTGCCAAAATATGGCTTTCCCACACTTACTTTTCACTATAACATAGGACGTGTGAGGCAGCGAAGCGATGCCTCCTCGCAACCCAGCTATCGTGAAGGACACACCGGGCGTCGGGGATCGCGGGCGGGATGGTCTCCGGCCACCGTAAGCGCGGGCCTGCGGACGGCGAGGATGGGTGGCTCCCCGTCCGACCAGAAACAGACTCGAGCGTATGGCGTAAAGAGCCATCAGACCACCACAGATGGGGCCCAATAGGGCCGATGCCGATTCGGAGTCGCGGAGAACCTAACGGGTAACCGGGGCTCCGGCTCGACGGCTCGTTCTCTCCGAAGGAACGGGGTGGTTTTTAGTCAGTAAGAGTCTGACACTCCCTCCCGCCTCATCCAGGCGGGAGCAGACATTCGATGATTTTCCCCCCTTAAAAAAATCCCTAGTAGGTAGGCAGACGTGGATGTACATTGTACATAAATAAGTTCTTATACCCACAATGTAACACCGACTTTTCACAAGTTACTCCTGTAGTATGTGAACGAAGAATTTTGTACAGTTGAAAAAGCCCTCCAGTCCAGTCCCTACTTTAATTTAACAACTATCCTAGTTCGGCAGTCCACGCAAACAACGAGAGTCTAATCAGTCTATTGTTTTGACAAAGACGTGGATAAACCACGAATAAATCGTTGTTATTCCCTAAATGAAAATTTTTAAGTTAGTCTGATTTTGTACCACCTGTAATATTCTTTGTTGGGGAGACTGCATATTTTCCTTGAAAAACCGAGTACCTACTTATAATTATAAACATTCAGATCGGAACAGCAACTGTTGCAGAGAAAAACCGTTATTGACAACCGTTTTCGGTACCAGTGTTGTACTGCGCCACGTTGGTCATTGGAAAGGAAGGGAAATCCTTGATAAACATTATATATCCATTGTCGTTCAATAGTAACACAACAATCGCACTATTTTTTTAATACGGTAAATTATTATATGACTCCTCCCGCCCTGTGGTGGTTGAAAGGGAGTGCCACATTCTGACTGATTAAAAATAACCCCGTTCCTACTCTTGCTTCGAGCTCGGGCCCTGGTAACAGGCAAGGTCTTCCGCAGCCTCGGCCGTGCATTGACCCTGCTGGGCCCCATCTGTGGCAGTCTGAAGGCACTTTAAGGTGCACGTGGAATTAGACGCGCCATACGTTGGATCTGGTTCTGGTCTGAGTTCCTCCCGCTGAATCCAAAACATATTCCTCCCGAAACTTCCTGGCATCACCTGCGGGAGCCGGAAGGTTATG